CGGCCCATCATCTTGGTCATCGCGATGGCGCTTCCCGTTCTCGTTAGCAGCTTTCTTCGATCGGAGGAGATCAAGGTCGGTGGGGTGCATCTGCTCCATGTCGTCTGCGTATGCCTTCACCTCAAAGGAAGGCTGCGCGAGGAACCCGTTCATCAGCTTGCGGTATCGTCCCGGGAGACTCCATTCGCGGCGCATGCGGCGCATCTGATGCGGGTCGAGCTTCCCGTTCTCCTCCCTGCCCATGAACTCGGCGTAAAAGGCACCAATCTCGTTGTCCGGGTAGACGACCTCGTAGCCCGGCGAGGGCAGGACGATGTCCCGGATCGTGTATCGCCCACTGGCTGCTTCCTCCTCCGTGAGGGCGCGGGCTCGTGTGTTGTCGCCGTCTTCATCTTCAACCACATTGACAATGTCGTCGCCATCGTCGTCCTGGCCACTTATCAGAGGCTTCTGCTCGGCTTCGACGATAATCAGGTCGCCTTTGACCACCTTCTCGCCGTACAGCTCCCACCGTCTGCTCGCAACGTGGTTCCAGACATGAGACTGGTAGGCGTGAAGATACATGGTCCTCAGACCTCGAGTGATGTGAATGAGTGCGCCGACCACGTCTTTTCGAGACTGGATGCCGGATCTGTTTAGGTGACGGAGAACACTAGTCTCGGCACCAAACCTCCTAGGAATAATCTTCTCCGCGCGATCGTAGTCCTTTCCAGTCCTGAAAAGCATGCAGGCCTGGTGACGTAGGTACTCGTCTCTCTTGGATGCCTCCTCCGGGAGCTCACCCTTCTCCGCCTTGTCGGCGATCTCTGCGTCGTAGGAAAGCAGCGAATCGACGGCTTCCTGGTACTTTTCTCCCAAGATCAGCTTACCAATCTCATGGGTACCGATCTCGTGAGTACCAAATCTCTGATGTCCAAAGTAGTTGATCCAGCCGTGCTTGATCAAGTGGTCCATCGCCGGCTGGACGTTCCCCCTCATGCTCTCCAGCCTCTCGGCGATGGGCGCGCCCGGTGCCTCACCCGCCATGGTGCAGTTCTTGATCGTGATGGCGAACTCGTTCCCCCGGAGCTCGCCGAGGTGGATCGGGCGCTGCTTGTACTCGTAGTCGCCCGTCTCCACGCCGCGCAGCTTCCCGTTGATCCCGGCCAGCGCCCTCTGGCGCATGTGCCGCACCGAGCACCTCTGCGCGGTCGAGGCCCTCCGGTCCTTTGTCCCGGCGTACCCTATGGCCTGCGGCTTCACCCGCAGCATGCGCGAGACCTGGTTGACCGCGTCCAGCGTGTCCCTGTTCTCCTTGTAGAGCGTGAAGTGGAGGTAGTCGCCCGAGGGCTTCTCCTCGCGCGGGCCGCCGCCGGCGTTGTTGTTGCGCCCGCCCCTGGCGCGCCTCTTGGCCCCTCTCTTGGGGATGCTGGCGACGATGGCTCCGGAGTCGTCGGTGTTGGTGTCTATCCTGGAATTGAAGATGCGGCGGACCTCCTGGTGGATCTGGCCGCGCTTTGATCGGTCATCCGTGGGCAAGGCGGTGGCCGTCTTCTTCTGGAAGGCCTCGTCATTGGCGTTTTGGAACATTTCCACCACGTCTTTGGCGAATTGGTCGCCTGCGAGAGAGGCCAAGATCGCGACATCTTCCGCGGATACCTCTGGGACGGTCTCTGCCTTAGGCTTCTCCGAGTCCTGAGCTGGCTTTCCTTCCGGCGCCTTCGCTTCCTCCTTCACCTCCTCCTTGACAGGTGGGTTTGCAACAGTCTGGCTTGACTGCGCCCATGTGAATTGTCATCTGTCAGTTGCCATGTACGAGAAAGGACTCGGGTTTGTTGCCAATTGCAGAATCTCACATACCGGCTTCTCCTCGCCCAACCCAATTTTACTCAAATGAACCACAGACCCATCCTCGGAAATCTCATTCACTTGAAAATCAGTGAACCTAGATTGTGTCAGATCGTGAGACCACGCTGCATTGATGGGGCAAGGACGTACCGAACGCGAAGGTCACCAGTCCACGCAGACGCAAGAGGTGTGGTTGATTGGGTGATACCCAGAGCGCGCATCCGCGAGGCGCTGGCGCGGTCGCCCATAATGTAGATGCGGTATCTATCTAGCCTTTTGCCCGATTTCAATTGAATGGGTGGGCGCTTGGGCTTTGCTTTGACGTGTTGATGAGATTTGCGATGTCCCAGGAAAAATTTGGGTCAAAGGAATTTCTAGCTCTAGATACCTGCTCTGCCTGGCGTGTTTCAGTGGGTAAGACGACCAAGAAGAATAGTTCGCTTATTTATATAGAATCGTATGTCAGAGTATTCCAATTATGTGATATTTTTTTTTTTCTATATTTCTAGAAACATATGATTGAAACAGGCGACAAGAGGTTCTTATTTCAGAGAGGTGTTTCAATCTCATAAAAACACATCTATAACACAGGTATTCTTCCATTGCTAATTTAGGTTATCCTAGTCAGCTCCACCTCTGGACCCAAGGGAGAAACCTCTTATGCTCAACTCGTCCATCTTTAGAATAGAACAATACATCGCAATCATCACATAGGACAGTCCTTTCCCTAGGTCCATGGACTACTCGATGTCGTTCGAGGTCAATGATACGTGAACGCCATGCTGCACCCATCAAAGTCACGAACATGCTTCTTCTCGCGCCATCAGATTCACAAAAGACAAGACCTGTACGTAACTCATTGACAAATCTTGAACTACATTTTTGGCTCATGGGAGCACCTCCAGCCTGCCGCAAGATGTCGTAGAGGCCCTCAAGCATGACTTCACTGGTCCTAGCAGGCTGGCCGGCAATGCGGTTCCATCAAAGAGACGCCACGCCCCAGAGCCGGAAAATCGCAGCCTCATTAGCTGACCGCAATCGGGAAAAGTTTGCGCCCGTCTCAAAGCTCTCCAAGAAGGATCACATTGTCGAAAAGAGCTTCGCAATCTTGGACGAAAATCCTTCGCCTCATGATACAGAGAAAAACTTCCATGACGAAAGTGAAGATTGCGGTGATGATGGCTCTAGATGTGTTCTGAGGATGAATATGACCCCTCTGACATTGAGGAATCTGGCGAGACCAAGACTGTCACTAAACCTTGGACTGATGAGAAAGTGTCCGTCCATCTGGGTGGCGAGCGCCTCCAGAACCAAGACCCATCGTTGTATCAGCACCGATGAAGCCCAGGGTCACCCGAGTCAAGAGATTTGACAGACTGCCTGCTTCAAACGCTGGCTGAACACAGAGACGGTCACATCAAGGTCCTCTGCGAGTACACAGGACTTCACACCTTGCTTGGAAGCTATGCGCACTGGGTCATATTCACCAACAATCCATCAAAAGCTAGAAGGAAAGACACTAGATCAGCCCTGACAGTGACCAACAATCTTGATTGGCAAGCTGCATATGAACAATTGTTGGGTGTTGCAAAGAAGCAGAGTAGGCTCTCGCGGTCAGAATTCGATTTCTACCTCACAATCCCTGATCCTAGAGGTGGAACACACGTTTTCTATCCGAAACTCAATTCGAAAATAAGGCCAAATGGAATTTTCATAATGATCATCTTGAAGATACCGCTAAGGGCTTGATAATAGTTCTAATGCAACATCCTTATTACAAGGTTGATCCCATGATGGGTAATGAGATATGGTCGTTTCGTCTACCAAATGCAGTCGAGCCACAACCCTTGGTCCCGAATTCGAGATGGATATGCTACCCATTGAACTCTGGGTGCCCAGTGGTGATGAAGTTCAGGAAGGTTTCCCCTCCAAAGTTCGACTGTCAAGAATATCGAATTCTCCAAGTTAGGTAGATACCTAGGCATTGAAGCGACTGACATAAAACATGGCACACCTAGAACCTCTAGTATTGGATTTTGACACAATATCAAAATAATCAACCTAGTAATTAACACAATAATAAGCTAAATACTATAGAATAATTTATTAATTTCTTATTATTACGTTTATTATTGTTAACAATAAGTCTGAGGAAGCGGATTAATCTCTCGACTAGGACAATATACGCGTGCGCACTTGTTGACAGTTGGGGGTTGGGGGTCGGCGGAGAGATCAGAAAGATATCACTTTCAACTCAGCGCGCTCTCACCTGTTGCTGGGTGCTCAGTTGGAGAACCCCACAATAAACAGCTACTTAAGCAATCCCCCTCGCGCTCGGCGGTATTTCTCTTTTCCTTCGTCAACAAACCTACTCCTCGTGCGTTTGGATCCCAGTTTCTGGCGATTTTTTCCCCTTGGTTTTCAGGTTATTTCGCAAGCATTTCAAGTAGATCTCGGCGAGATCTGCTTCTTTATTAGTAGATAGAGGTCAAGGTAGAACGCAGGGCTTCCAGCATTCTGAAGGTTTCTCGGACGAGTTTCGACAAATCAGCACTCTCTGAGGCTGATACTTTTTACCGTGCCTGGCGCGTGTAATTCGATTCTCTGAAGAGTCGTCTGAGGTGTTGCTGTTAGTTCCAGTGGTGTCTAGACTGTTCTCTTGTTGAGTTTAGTTGGAGGTAAGTAATCCACTCTTTACTCTCTCAAGCTCAGCTGCTAACCATCACACAACTGGTTTTTAAGGGTCCCTCATATCGGTCTCTACGAGTGCCGATACTTTTTCTACTCGTGTTTACACGGGTACTCCTCGGGAACCTGAATCCTCAGCTCGCCATGTCTCAACCAACCCCGGCCGGCGAGTCTTCAAAGCCTATCGCGATGAAGGTTTCAAGGACTCCTGTCAACACGGAATGTGCCATCGTCGTTGGGTCCTAGGAAGGGCAAATCATCGGCGGCAAATCTCTGGGTGTTGGCGACACTGTGATCGACTCCAGTATTTTCCTACAGCGGGCGGCTGCCACCAACCCATCAATGGGTTTTAAGATTTCGTTCCCCCTTGGAACCGAGAATGAGAGTGTGGGATTTGGAATGTGCCATTCTTGTAAGTATTCGATCTAGTACATCCAAATTTCCCTTACTTACATAGGTATGTTATAGATAATGCGGCAACTCAGATGGCTGAGCCAGCAGCCTCATGGGAGCTCATGGTCAAATTTCCTCGTGGCCATTTCGATGTCAAGGTCCAAGACATCGACTCTGTACCTGGGCTTCGGGCGCGGTTCCCTAGTCTTACCGAGCCTGCCACATTCATCACGGTACACCTCCATCACTCTCACCATGCCGTCGTTGAAGGTTACGCCAAACCCTTCTCCAACCCTGGGCACCCATGTGATGAATGGATAAATAAAAGCCTCCCTATTGATGATGGCATCACGCTTCTCGGTCTGCTGGAAGAGCGACGCTTTCACTTTGTCCTGTCCAAGAACAAGGACTATTACAATCGGTTCTGGGCTGAAAGCCGGCTCCCCCCTCCATTCAGCTATCCCTACAAACATCGGCTGAGCTGGGACATTGAGGAGTACCGCAAAGAGTTTTCTGAGCATAGAGGAGAACCATTCCTGCGGGCGCCCACTTTCCCCAGCGACGAGGCACGTATGACAGTTGTCACACAATCTGCCATTCAAGACGTTTTGTGGCTCGCTGAGGCCGCTGCTGAGATCTTCGCCACCAAGCTCTCGGCGTACTTTATCCCATCACAGTCTGACCAGGACGGCATGTGCTCGCGTTATTATGTCATTATCCCACTGTCCAAAGAGTTCTATGGAAAGTATGAACAAGAGTGGCCGGCATTGACTGACTGTGAGTCCTTCAAACTGGCTTTCCACGACCATGATTCTGTCATAGCGCCCCCCAGTCTGGCAGAAGAGGAGGAGTGGAAGAAGCTGGCGCTCGGCACCTGGGATGCCAGGATTGAGCAGTGTCCAAAGCACGTCGATGTCATGGCTCAACACCCAGTGGATGGGAATGAGCTTGTGCTTTTCGTCAGTCGCGGAGCTCTTGGGTTAAAGGTTCCTACATTCCAGGACCGCTCTGCTGCCAACACTGCCCTTCGGGGTGATAAAAGAAGTTGGGCATGTGTTTCTTTCCTGTTTGATACGGGTCTCAAGGAGTGTGAGCGCAAAGTGAATGCTGCTTTCCAGTACCATGAAGGGGCCGAGCCCAGTAACATCATCCCTCCGACCTCCACCAACGACACTTCATTGATGATGGCGTTCCACCGTGCTCTCCAGCGTGGAACTGGCTTCTACGATGTTTTCAAGGGAGCATCAAGCTCATCCAGTAAGTAGATCGATATTCTCACCAGATGTCTCGGTATCACTAACAAGGATTGGATAGACCCTATCGATTCTCTTGCGGAGTCAATGGAGCATTCCGTTATCAGTGATGATGGAACTACCGGGCAGCAACTCCCCAATATCAGCTACCTCGATCTCGGCGACCCTACTTACATTGATGCTCTACTCGAAGATGTCCTGCCGCAAGACCGAGCTCGCTTCCGTGGCTACTTTAGCAATCGCCCACTGGGTCTCTCTCTTGTCACAGCAGTAAGTTCCTCACGCTATGTTCTTTTGACTGTTGACTAACAGAGTTCAATGTAGGGTCCAGGTTTTGGCAAGACCACCGTGATCGCAGTTGCGACGCTGTCCATGGTATCATCAATCGGTCCTATCTACGCCAGCGCGCCTACGAACGTGGCCGTAGACAACTTTGCCTCTCGTCTTAGTGCAGTTGATCGAAACGCCGTTGAGAGGTGCACCAAGGGCAAGTCTGACGATCCCGAAAGGATGCGTCGCCGGGTGATCATCCGAGGCTACGCCCTCCTTGAGGAAGTCCAAGCCTTTCGAAGGCTTCTCCAAACCCCCGCCGATGGTGACAAGGCCGCACCCAAGAGGCACTGGAAGCCCCAGTCAAAATGGAAGCTCCACCTCTCCGCATCATACTGGCTCTTGATGATACTGCGCTCGCCTGCTGTCCGCGCCCTCGAGCCCGAAGATGCAAAGATCCTTTGGAGTGCCCAGGAACTCTACGATGCGCAGCCAGAATTGCAGAAACTTCGGGAGCTGGCAGCTGGGCATATCGAATGGAAGGAGTTCGAGGGCAACATGGCTGGTGAGCCCAAGCAGATCCAGAAGATGCTAGAGACCATCATCGCGGTGGCCGACATCGTTTGCACCACTCCTTCCCAGTCCGAGAGAGTGCCCACCTACAAGAAGTGGAAGAAGAACACAGCCCGGGCTATCGCTGTGGACGAGGCCGCCAACATGACCAGACCCGACCTCGATTGCGTCTGGGGCAATATGATGCTGCCCTGCCTTCTCGTTGGTGACGAGAAGCAGCTTGAGCCAGCTGTCATGACACAGCAACAGAAAGACCCAAAGACTGGCAAGCTGTACAACAGACATGTTAGCGATGGCTCCGTGTCTCCTCTGGCGTTCTTCAAGTCGACAGGCTGGCCAGTTTACCGTATGCTCACCCAGTTCCGCATGGCAAAAGGCCTCTTCGACATCTGCCAGCGTGAAATGTACTCTGATATCCCATTCGAGTATGACGCGTGTTGCAATATCGACCTCCCCCAGCATGCGATCGGTGTCAAATTGGAGAACTTTGCTCGCCAGAGATTTCTGGAGCTGTCCCCACCCCCTGCTGGCCAGCTGGCTCCAATCTTCGTCCACTGCCAGGGCACGGTGTGCCTCAAGGATCGAAATAGCACATCCCTCATCAACTATGGTCAGGCGGAGGTCGCCCTGAACTTTTTGGTCAGCTTCGTTCATGAAACCAAGACCGACCCTTCCCAGATCGGCTTGATCAGCCCATACAAAGCAACGAGCGTGGTGATCGAGCGTCTGCGCAAGAAGAAGCCCGAGTATCTCCCCCTTGCGCCAATGGCACCGGCTGCTACCGTCGACTCATTCCAGGGTCGCGAGAACAGCATCATCGTCGTGGTCATGTGTACCACAGCAACCAAAGGACCTGGCTTCACGACAAATAAAAACCGGCTAAATGTATTACTCTCCCGTCACAAGAGCGGCCTGGTTATTTTCGGGGACATCAACGTCATGGAGCCATTGGTTGGTGCCAAAGCTAAAGGCGAGGGCGAGGAAGTAAAGGGGGAGGGAAAGGTAAAGGGGAAAGGGAAGGGCAAGGCCTTTATCGTCCGGGGGGCTGATAACAAAGGAAAGTTCTTCCAGGCCAGTATGTTAAAGAGTGTCCACACCAATTTTGTTAAAGAGGGCAGAGTAGCTACGGTAGTTTGGGAGAAAAAAATTGTTTAAATGTACCGCATCATAAAACGTCTAAATGAGGCTGAACATTAACAGTCCAACGGTCTCATGTCTAAATTACACATATTCAATCTACAGTCTAGAAGTAATCCCAGGTCCTTTAGTCGTCATGATGACTTGTGTATCAGCTAAATTACCTTCTCCGAGGATGTTAATCATTTCCTGGATTGGCGGCGCCTGCATGTGCTTGTCCATCGCTTCTTTGCTTTCATACCTGTATACGCGCCGTTGTTAAAAATGAGGGTGTTGATACAAGCATGTCAATTCCAAGGACGTACTTCTCGAGAACCACAAATTGTTCATTTCCGTTTAGCTCCTTGATTCCCTTGTGCAACTCATACCGAAGCACATACGGCTCATTGGCCTGTACATATTTAACACATTTGTCGAATAATGCAAGAAACTAATCACTCGCTACTTAGCCGTCGGTTCATCGGTAGCTTTTATGACGGTTTCGTTAAGCAACTCACTTTTTCGGCCTGGCCAGGCTTGGGTGTAATGACAGCTGCTAACTCAATGGGTGCCATCTTGAGTGTTGGGTATAATTGTTTACGGATAAACCTCAAGCTGGTAGTGTAATGTTGTGTCCTGGAAGGAGATTCGTCTCTGAAACCGCGTCTAATTCAATGCCCAGCTATGCTCTCGTATAATATCGTGGGCATGCTGGGCCTAAATGTTCATACATTCGGACCCGCTAAGTTGAAGGGCTATCGGAAATCTTTTGCCACGGATAATTGAACCCGGGAGGGAATTCTACACCCATATACTCTAAGCCGATTCTTGAACACCTTAATCCAATCACTCCAGCCGGCTAGGTGAGGGCTCGACACTAAATGAGGAGAAAGCACATAGAAGCCGAGGGAGCAGGTGTGTAGGGTAGGCGGAACGCAGGGGAGGTGAGGTTCAACTTGATATGATCCATGATCACTCGGTGACGAACAAGGTGACAGGCACTAAAAATTAGAGTAATGGCTGTACCTGGCAAGTGGATGACATTGAAATTGAGGCACTCAAACATTGAGCTGCTTATTTTCGAGTCTGCGACAGATATCGTCAGATTATTACGTGCTAACAATAGATACTTCAGAGATAATACGGCATATATTGTTAGTTTATTTCGTCTAATACTGCTGAATTTCTCTATCCACTGTAGAAAGTAGTCTGTTTATACCCATTCTTCCATTGAATGTCTCATTTCTCCTGTCGCCCACTTACCTGGGAATTGCGGCATGGTGAATTGGTGTCCATAGGAAGAAATGGTGGAAGCGACTTCATGCAGTCAGAAGGCTTCATCTCATTGCCCACCCACGCTTCTCACCATGACAACTTTGTGAGATATCCTAAACGTTTGGAATTGGCTTAGTGCTAGACAGGCATCGACGAAAATCTCGGGTCTCACTGATTTGGGTATTGAGCGGTGCTCGGCGCGGTGCAGATCAATATACCACCTACTGATTGGCATGTGTCACATAATAGCTTCTCTGGATCCGGTTCGACTTTCCGGCATGGTTTGGGACCGCACGGTGACAATCTTTTAAAGTCAAGTGATCACAATAGCGGCGCCGTACTCGGAGAGGCTTCGCTCGACCGGCGCCGACTCAGGCACTAGTTTTTCTCTGAGAGATCGTGTGTAGCTGCAACTAACAAACTACTGGGCCGGGTACTGGCCCACTAGTGTCGAGTCAAAGGGATCCTCGAGACTGTTGAACACTCCGATGAGGTCTGAGTCTGGGGCGGATGCAGGGGCATGCAGGAAGAAGATCACACGAAGAACACTCCTTTCCAGGACCGGGAAGCCCGGCGCTCTGGTGAGCTTATTGCTTCGGAGAGCAATTTGCTCCCAATCCCGAGGTGTTATCCTTTCTGGGCACGAAGGCGGACAACACAACACAACACGCCCATCGGCCGGGAATGAGGCCTGCTGCCTCCCAAACCCGGTGCCTGAACGGCGGGTGCGGCTTCCAGAGGGCGTATGGAAGCATATGCACACCATCCACATGGTACCACCAATCCCCTGATGATCCACCAGGGCAAACTGGTGGCTCGAGCTAGCCCAGAATCTTCAATTAGACCCTGAGAGCAGGATGAGTGATACAGTTTGAAAATACCTTGAGATGGACTGGTAAGTGGTCTTGCAAAAGGGCCCCTGGTATCCCGTAGATGCAGCACTGATGGAGATGATGTGTCTGCCAGTTGAGTCCGAGAAGCTCGGAAATAACGACGGCAGGAAAACACTTGGGACCCTGGAGCCTACGTGCTATGCCGACATCCGAGCACATGTTGACGACGATGCGTGCGTGCGTGCTGATGCAGCGTGCTCGCTTATTTAGACGAGCCGGTCGATCGGTTATTAGCACATACATTCGCTTGCTTGATATTGGGGGTGTCAGCAGATGTACCGTTCCGTTACATTCAGAAACTCGCCTCGCTGTGCCCGCCTTTTTGTCGTAGTAGCGAGCCAGGCCCGTCAGATCATCGGAAGGTTCAGGGACGATAATTTTGCAATTGTGCGATGGAACAATGGACAATAGGACTTAAGTCATCGACATCCTCGAAATTGTGGTATCGTGTGGTTGTTATATGATCTCGTAAGAAGTAATTCGTTTACGGGAATGAATGTCGTGGGAGTTAGATACAAGGTAAAATCAAACCACCAGGAAACTTCAAGGCTGGCTGCGCCATTGACGTCGCGATGCTTCCAGAGAGGAAAGCGTGGCTCCAATACGGGCTTACCTATTGATTTGACGTGCATCACGGCCGGAAAATCGAGGGGCATTTCTTCAAGGGTATACGGCATGAGCGTATTCAACTCACTACGTCATTACTCGGTCTCGCAAATCGGTTTCTCACTCGCCAATTTGGCACCTCGGAATTACGGACTTTGCAGGAAAATCGGCAATCGCTAGCCTGCTGGCCTTGGAGCGCGCTAGAAGAAAGGTAAAATATTGTCGCCCGCCTACCTACCTTACAATCAGATCCGTCATTCCCGCTGTCGTTTCTACTGCCGAGCGACTCATCGGCATGACACGGGCAATCGCTCGGGTCCGTAGACGCGAATGCGCGAGCAGGGTGCATCACAAGACCAACGGCGAGAGATGCGATTGCAGTCGTACTCCTGATTGATTGCTGTAGCAATCAATCTGCTTCTACTAAGCATGATCAGATACCACGCCCAGTCGCTGGAGAAACGAATCCTCAGCCATGAATAGAAAATACAATCTTAATTGAATGCATCAACTGCATGACCCTGAAATGCTGAATCGGCGACCCGGGAAGGATCTGGGGAAGATTGCTTTATATAGCATTTGTCACAGCAACGAGGAGGGATGAGGCGTCCCCAAGATCCGTGCATGTAGATCGCATCCCATCCCCATATTGGGCGATGGAAGTGGTTCGTCTGTCCGGTGCAGAGCGGACTTTGCACGCGGACTCTAGGATATTCCTTGCCCTCTTCCAGCGTCAAGTTGTTCCCAAGCCACGGGATAGATCTAAACCCCGGCAGCATCCCCGTTTTTTTACTGTCTTCTGGATCGGGTTCTCTTAACCAGTTACCTAGCTGACCACAAGACCTTGATCGAGCTGTTTAACGAAAGCTGATCTGTTCACAAGTCTTAATGAGGTGTGGTGACTTCTATCATCAGGCCTCGCCAGAGGGTGTGATACATAGGCGAGGAATGTGAGCCACCGATAACGCGATCAAACCTTGTCTGTTTGATTTATCAGGCCGGCTGCTTACACATGCAAGCGTTTATTCAGCGGATGAGTCAAACTGAGGACCCATCCCTCCAATTAGACCTATCCACCGGATTAAGAATCAGCCCTACTTTGGGTTGGAAGCGTAATGGCCATGCGCAGCAGCGCCCAGCCAAGCTCCAGGGACGTCTGATACGTACACGCCCTTTCTCCCCTCCCCTCCCGCTGCCTCGCATCACTCCGCGTCACTCGGATTGTAGAACGATGCGAGCCTGGTGCCTGACTTTGAGGCTGGTTACTGAACCCCGAGCCCGCCAGCCCGCACCCCGGGCTCCGTCATAGGCAACACCATCACAAGTCCGCAGACGGCTGCGGTTCGAATTACACGTATGCCGGAGGCCATCAATTGGGAATGGAAGCCAATTATTGGAAACAGCCACATGTGTGAGGCGTCTGTATCAGCTGCGGATGGCGGCAGACCACCCGACTCCTCGAATGTTCTATGGTCCCCCCCTTGCACCAGCCCACGTACCCAAACAAGCCTCAGTTGGGCGTGCGTGTCCAGTTGTTGGGCGCTGGCGCTGGCATTACACAGACGTGTTCCAAGAGGATGAAATTGAAACCAGAACAAGGCATGCACGGATGGCCAATAATACCAGCTGGCGCCTGTTCCAGCCCAGCATCAACAAAGACATCCAGACAAAGAAACCATGGCACTAATACAGCACACGATGCTCGCACAATTTCTCCGCATTCGAGGAAAAGCAAGGGACATGCGAAGAACTATTTTTTTGTTGTGTTGTTGTTTATTTTAATTAGCAACATAACAGAAACACCCCCAGTGAGCAGTGAGGCAAAGCACGGTGAGAGCCATTAAACATTAAGATTGGCCCAACCTCACTGTCAGCCGTAACGTTATGCCCAAATTTGCTGCCCGTAGACTCTGCTCCCCATTGTTGCGAGCAAATTTAAGGCGAAACTGGTCCAATTTTAGCTAAATGTAGGACTTTGGGTGCTACAAAGAAAGAAAAATCACAGTGGTGCCAGGATGCAAAGGATTTGGGCCGCATTGTTGCTATTGTCTATTGTTGTGCAGCGGTGAATTAGGATGTCGGTCAATTGTGCAGTTGCATGTGTTGGCCGCAATTACCACAGAGGAATGTATGCAAGGGACCCGAAACGCCGCCGGTTTGGGTCGGATTTTAGGATATCTAATGTCCCTCCGCTTTGATGATGAATGTGAATGTGTGCGTAGAAAGCTATGGACTAGTGCGGAATCTCCAAACTGCGAGCAACAG